ATTTATATATATATATAAATATTATTTATATATATATATATTTTTTTTTAAATCGTTTGAATGCTAAAAGAAGGAACACGACGTAATGAATCACAAAAATGTAAAAAATAGGAACAAATGCAACGCGTCTAAATATATAATGAGGAACATACATAATGTTTAAAATGTAACGCGCAAGGAACTTTATTTACTAAAGATTTACATGTGTCTGTATTGTATGTGTTTTGTGTATGTATGTTTTCACTTGATATACATTGTGTGCATTGTATCGAATCACCACACGCACACACATTATTAATATGTTAAATAATATTATAAAAGTCCTAATGTTTCGTTAAAAAAGCTCTGGTTTAAAGTAGAAACATGATCAGATCAGTGAACGTAAAGTATTCATCTGGATATATCCCACATATAAAGTTAAAAGACACATATAATTCCTAAGACGTGGGTACGTGCTGTGCTACGTATCGTAACGCGATGTAAATATAAAACGTGAAGCATTTTTTTAAAAACGCTTTTACATTTTTTTTCCTGCACTGTGGAGATTGATACCGTGTCGTCTCGATTCCAAGAATATTTTATACTTATGTTACACTCGTACCAATAATGTCGAACGTTTGGAAACGAGGTGTCTCTTACATGCTTAACGTGCAAAATCTCACACTTTCCGTGGTTCGTCAAATAATTATAATAATAATAAAAGATAAACTTCTATAACGAGCCCTCGGGATAATCAGCGAGATTTGTGTGTGCATTGACGTTCGTTTAATCCCCGCATTTAAAAATAAAAACATCTACGAATCGAAAGTGACTCTGTCTAGCTCTCTCTCCCCCACACTCTCTTTCTTTTTCTCTGACTTATTCACTCGCATCCTTGCGTATTCATTTTTTCCTCTTTTTCTCTTTCATATATCCCGAGCATATATTCTCTCCCACTGTCATACCGCGCATTCTGCCTAACTTGCACACTGACATTTGCACAAATACGTACTTACGATATAGTTCTTACAATATTTTATATTCATTTACTCTATTAATTATATCAATACTGTTGACGGATAGAGATTCATTCACAGCTCGCACTAGAGCGGATAATCGTCTCTGATGCGTGTGGCATTAACGTTCCTTTTTTTCGCTTCCTACTTTTTGTCCAAAAGCGATCTTTCACTGTTCAGTCACATTGTATGTGTTCCACCTTTCATATTTAATATAATTTTTGACATAAAGTTTTTATCACACGCTAAAACACTTGATCTCTATTTCGAAGATCATTGTCCATCCGCACGGTATTTCGAAACGATACAATAATTCACGAATACACGGGTTCAATTCTCCTCTATTTATCTATCGCTCCCTTCCCTCGATTTCTTTTCGTAATCTTCCCGTATCATCGTGACGGACGAAGATACCGCGCTACTCCTCCCCCTCCCCCATCCGTCCAAGAATTAGAAAAACGTTACGAACTCGAGCAGACTGCCACCGCACGTAAGTTCGTTTCCGTCTTCATCCTCGATAGTGACACAACATCGACTGCAGCAGCACTGCAGGGTCGCTCGACAATTCGGCACGAAATTTACCTATCGACGAACCAGAGCACTTTAGCACAAACGCGTTTCTTGTTTACAACGAGTTCCGTACGTCACTTTCTGGTCCAATCATCTCCCGCGAGATGATGCGTACGTTTTCCAAAATGTAATTACTTGTGACCGCGCTGCGCCAAAAAATACTCAATCTGCTGTAAACAAAGCAGTTGCTGCACCAGGCTCTGCAATGGATCCTGACCCGGTTGCATTTGACCCTGCTGCTGCTGCTGCCCCTGGAGTCCTTGCGGCTGCGTCAAGCCTCCACCAGTAGGCTGAGCAGACGTAGGTGGCAGCATCGTGGTGCCCGGACCCGATTGCTCGGCCAGCAACTGCCGCTGCAGCTGCTGTGCCTGGTAATGAGCCATCGCCATCAGCTCCGAGGACTCCACGCCCATCGAGGCGGCGGCAGCGGCGGCGGCGGCGGCGGCGGCGGCCACGTGACCCAACTGCTCCGGATGATGGTGGGCCGCTGCTGTTGCTGGCAAACCGGATTGGCAGGCCAACGGCGGAAATACGCCAACGTGTGACGACAACCTGCCAGCCGTGGAGCCGGCCGCAGAAGCCAGATAAGCGGCGGCAGTGGGGAGGCTAGGATTCTCGCCCCGCTAGGGAGCCACGTTCTTGGGCCTGCGCCCCCGTCGCCCCCTGGTGGGGGGGCGCGGGGACTCCTGGCCTCACTGGCTCACCGCGGGGCTCTTTTTGTCTTGCTGCTGCTGACTGGCGTCCTGTGTTCCCTGTACACCCGCGGCTGCACCCGCTTGACCACCTTGGACTCCCTGAAACAGCACATACACGACGTTAAAAGCACGTGTTGCGCTTTAAATAATATATTTAGTAGTGGAATCAATATATGTATATTTCGCTTAAATTTATTTTCCTTTAATTTTTTGATAACCGAGCGTTAGTATTGATCTTTCAACAGTCTTGAATATAGTACACGTTACCTGGCTACCAGGACCACCTTGTGGAGGACCAGGACCACGATCTGGCGGCCAGGAATTACCAGGTGTCGGTTCCGAATGGAATTGATGGGGATGTGGCGGTGGCCCGCCGGCCGCGTCGTGACTATGAGGATCCAAATTATTCGCAGCATCATATTGCGTGTTCTCCAGCCTCGTTATTAATCGTTCATCCTCATCTCCAAACTCGCCACCCATCAAAGATGGCTCACCCACGACCATCACATCCTGGATCAAAGTAAAGGAACATCTCTAGCTAATATCTGCTTTTTAAAACATTGATCTGCTTTTTAAAGCATGATCAATGATCGAGAAAACTAATTGAGAAGACTTACCTGCGACGCTAGAGAAAAATTTGGCCCTGGCGAACGCTTTTTGCTGGGGGCGGGTGGCGCGTTGTTGCCCGGTCCCGATGTACTGCCCTTTCGCTTTCTTCTTTTGCTAGCTGGCCGCTGGGATTCTGGAAAAATAGATTCATCGTGAACACGACGCTGCGCGCACTCGATCGCCACGCTTGGCCACGTGTGTAGCTACACACTGATAAACTTAAGAGCACTACCCAGCTGTGGACCTTTCTCATCATCAAAGGTCTCTGACACGCAGAAGCATAAGCATGCATCGATAGACGAACAAATACTAGACATATGTCAGGTCTATTTCTTTCACGCGCTACTAAATATTTTGCACTCTCAAGCGATCTTTATAGAGAAACATGCTTGGCATGATAATACATAGTGTCGTAGCTGCTTGGTTCCACGATTTTATCAATTTTAAAAAATATACCAAAAAGAAAATGATAAGTACATTCGAATTGCATAATATTGCAGGTAAAATAGGAAATGTGATGCACGATGCGCTATAAAGACGGGCGCTAACCGCAGTACGCAATGTCAAGCAATCGAAATAATTGAATCATTAATTCTGTATTTGCAAAATAAAAAGTAAATTGACATTTCAATTTAATAGTAATGCTTAATTCGATCATAACTTAAATATTCGTTGAATATGATTATCAACAAAGCAAAGCAACGTTGCATTAGCAACCCTAATAAAGTCATCAATGAGGGAGCGAATTTAATCGTTGGATTTCTTGCAAAATCGGCAAATCTCACGCTCAACGAGAAGAAAACCGATAGAACCAAGAATCGCGACAGAGTGGCAAAGAAAACCGACGACAACAGTACGTCGTTCCGCGAATGGCAAAGACCGATCTCGTTGTCTATCAGGTCGATCAGATGGTCGTTCGGCTTCACTGGCTGGTGCTTCTCATGTAAAGCAACTGTTCGTCTACCTCTCTTACCCGGCGGGGCAACTATCCTCTGCCATTTCTGGAACAAGGTTGTCTTCAAGCAATCGCGAGGTGACAATGCATACGCCTTGTGCCTCGACATCAGTTCCTGCATGGGCTCCAGAATCACGCATAACTGTAACAGAATCGCTATATGTACTCAACTCAACTATAATGAAAAGTCACTGTCTTTAACTTTGAGAGAGAATGTGGATCAAATTTTTCTATACTTTTAAGCCAAATTGAGCATTGTGTGTGTGTGTGTGTCCGCGCGCGCAAATAATTTATTAATAAAGGGATAAGAGAGAGAGAAAGAGAGTATATACGCAATATTATAATTCCATAAAATATTTAATACAATAATATTTAGAATTTATATTTATTTTCTATTCGTTCGTAATTTTTTAAAAATTCGATTGTTTTTTATCGTATAAAAATATTTAATATATAAATGTTCGATTCAATTTCAACGCAATCAATTTAGTACTGTGGATACATTAATTTAATATATACTTAAGACGACACTTGCATTACAAAAGATACATACTCTAAGGTAATTGAGGGTGAAGTTCGACATGCCCTGCCTGGTGATGTTTTTGCTGATTTGCTCGAGCATCGTCGGGTCCTGCTGCATACTGACAACAGATCTCGGCACCAGTTCTCGATGCGTTCTCACCGACATGTGCCACGACTTTATCCTCATGAGGTCGTCGAAGGTGAACTCCAATATTAACCTACCCTCCGTTAATACCTAAAATCAGAAATTCGAATAACAACATCTGTCTCGTTTTACTTCGAGAATATTCGATTTCGCGCGTCACTTTCGAAGAAAGAAAAGAAGAGTTCGTAGAATTCGAGCTAGGAAACAGTTTTGCAGAAACTACGGAAATCCAATTAAACTGTGTGTGTGTGTGTGTCCGCGCGCGCAAATAATTTATTAATAAAGGGATAAGAGAGAGAGAAAGAGAGTATATACGCAATATTATAATTCCATAAAATATTTAATACAATAATATTTAGAATTTATATTTATTTTCTATTCGTTCGTAATTTTTTAAAAATTCGATTGTTTTTTATCGTATAAAAATATTTAATATATAAATGTTCGATTCAATTTCAACGCAATCAATTTAGTACTGTGGATACATTAATTTAATATATACTTAAGACGACACTTGCATTACAAAAGATACATACTCTAAGGTAATTGAGGGTGAAGTTCGACATGCCCTGCCTGGTGATGTTTTTGCTGATTTGCTCGAGCATCGTCGGGTCCTGCTGCATACTGACAACAGATCTCGGCACCAGTTCTCGATGCGTTCTCACCGACATGTGCCACGACTTTATCCTCATGAGGTCGTCGAAGGTGAACTCCAATATTAACCTACCCTCCGTTAATACCTAAAATCAGAAATTCGAATAACAACATCTGTCTCGTCTTACTTCGAGAATATTCGATTTCGCGCGTCACTTTCGAAGAAAGAAAAGAAGAGTTCGTAGAATTCGAGCTAGGAAACAGTTTTGCAGAAACTACGGAAATCCAATTAAACTTTGATCTCTTTTATCTCTATATTTTTCTTCCTTTAAAATAAGAGAAAACGATTAATTTTTCTAATTATGCCAAATTAAAACATGATGCATATTCTTATAGCGATCTACTATATATCTCTGTTAAAAATATATATTACATTTGTAGAAAGAATGGGCAGAAAAGAAATAGATTGAGAGAATAAGGCTAACATTTGGATTCAAGACTTGTGAAAAATGGAACGACGAGATACTCAATATATGTATTTTCGTAGGAATATGTCGAATGTCGGGATCGAGACTGTTCCATATCGGCAACCTTGCTAATATGATATTCGTCTCGGTCAGAAATACAAATACATTTCTTAGGTATATACAAACATAGTTTTCGTATGTCAATATTTCTAGAAAAGATTTGAATTTAACGTACGCTAAACTAAATTTAGATTCCTCTCTACACAGTATAATAAATATTTTTTATTAGATAATATAAATTCTGCTGCGGGACTATTCGTACCTTAGTGTACATCGGTTTCCCATATTGCGTGACCATTGTGCACTGATCACAGTCCAGGGTTATACTGGTGTTATGAAACGACTCCTTCTGATTCTTCAAAGTATAATAAAGTTCTATAACACCACCGTCGAATATCGAGCGGAAGTACCTAGGTATTAACGTCCTTCCTATCGCTGAAAGGATAAAAGTAGAACCAATTAGAAATAAATACAAGAAACGCGTTGCGAGAGAAAGACGCAATTATTAAGATGGACAGCTCTATCTTATCGTTAGATCGATCGAGATGCGTTGTCCCGTGTTAGATACAAGATCTCCCTCGACAAGTACGGCGCGTAGATGTATGCATATTCGTGAAAAGTTGCCCAGAAATATTTATAACGCAAATAAAAACAAAATTAAAATTAAATCGCAAATCTTGACTTTGCAATATATCGCGAAAAACGGACAAAGATGCATGGTATAGATAAGACGCAAGGAGTAATATATATAAATGTGTAAATCGTTATATAACAATGGCGAGGAAGAAAATTTCTGCTTCTCTTTTTAATTGCAAAATAATGCATCTCGCGTTACCGCATCTCGTCTTACGACGAACTTGTCATTTATATCCGGGCGACAACGACATGCATCCGCAAGACATGTAATCACGTTGTCGCCGTATATTATCGCGACGGTGTGTGTGAGAACTGACATTAAAATCCACCAACTGCAAAATTGCCGCGCGGTGGCATGTCATTATTTAGAATACAGACGGTACCGTACGAGCTTGCCAACGATTAAGCATCAATAACAACGGATCACGATATCGTCAAGGTGTAAAGAATTATCTGTTACAGAGATCGACTAACGTATTAACGTAGATAACAAAAGTAGATATCGGAGAAACTTTTATTTCACAATATCACCGTGCTTCTCAAAAAGATGTTCTGCTCGCAATTCAATTTTTTCCGTGGGTGCTTCTATCAATTTTATAAATTAGAGATGTCTTACTTTTACTGTATCGTTTCTTTGATTAATTGGATATAAATATCACGAAGGAAAGAATGTTTTTTCATCGATTTTATTATGAATTTTCAAAAGTTTCTTCGATTCGAATGCCACCGCCAAGTATCGACGAAACATGCAAATCTGCTCAAGTAATCAATGATACTCACAGTATCTCTTCGGTCCGTCTTCCAAGCAGACGTGAAGGGTAAGGGTGGCGTCCTCCTCGAAAAACTCGTTCGCGAAGGCCTCCCACCAAAGGTTGTCACTTTCCTGGATAGAACAACGAGAAAAACAAAGGCTTAGCTTGCGTGATATCCTGTAAAATTTTGTTCTCGGAGTATATATTGTCGCATCGATAATTATCGCGCCGATTTATTTTAGAAACAATCGGGAGTGGCGAACGAAAGGGTTAGCTAGAGGACAGAAATACAGCGAGATGAAAAGGAGAAGAGAGAACGAAGAGGTGACACCTCCCTCTCCCCTTCCCCCCAAAGATGCGCACGAAGGGCGCAGAAAAGCCTGAGGAGAGGAGAAAGAGAGAGAGGCTGTACCTCGGCGCTGAATAACGCATGACTGTCTGGCTTGAAATTATAGCATTCCGCTCCCTCTCAGTCGTAGGAACTACTACCCCTTGGCCCTGCTGTTCACCACGCTTTCATTCAATTATGCATCTCCACCTCCACTATCCTCATAGCGCCCTTCCCAAATCCACCTATCCCCGCGGGCGCACCTCTTATTATTATTTTCCCACATGCAGCTCGGTCGCTCGTCGCCTTTTCTCGCGCGCGAAAAAAATCGCTGTCGTCGATGATTTCTATAACGATTCGAGGAGCAAACATCTCGCGAATCGCTCAGCCAAGATTCTTCGTTTGCGAATCTTAGTAACGCGTTAAATCCTTTGAACGCATAATTTTTATCTGATACATTCGGTATAAATTTATTATAGAATAATAAGAATTTTCTATATTCATTGTGTAAAATATAATCTGAAAATAATTAAATAGAATTATTAAAATAATATATTTCTCACCTATCCCCGCGGGCGCACCTCTTATTATTATTTTCCCACATGCAGCTCGGTCGCTCGTCGCCTTTTCTCGCGCGCGAAAAAAATCGCTGTCGTCGATGATTTCTATAACGATTCGAGGAGCAAACATCTCGCGAATCGCTTAGCCAAGATTCTTCGTTTGCGAATCTTAGTAACGCGTTAAATCCTTTGAACGCATAATTTTTATCTGATACATTCGGTATAAATTTATTATAGAATAATAAGAATTTTCTATATTCATTGTGTAAAATATAATTTGAAAATATAATTAAATAGAATTATTAAAATAATATATTTCTATACACAAATAAATTCTTCCGCAATATTATTTTACAAAATAATTTGCAATAAATATGCAATAAACTGAAATGCGTTATTGTTTCATTTTTTTGATAAAATATTATATACTAAAAAAGAGCTTATAAAAAACTCGATAATTAAAATGCTTCATTATCTTTGATATATTGTTACATTATAGTTTAATAATTATTTTAGTAGAATTATGTTTACCTTATTATTTTTCTCGCTCTTTTACACTACTGCGTTTATTTTTATATGTATATAGCATAAAAATCAATAAATATTAAAAACTCAAAATTTTACAAAAAATTATAATACGTATATATAATTAAATTAAACAAGTTAAAAGATTGAAGAAGCAGTGTACGTTACGAATGACAAAAAAGTTCTCAAACAAAACGCCACATTCGATATGATATGCGAACTGCATTCCGAAATACCAATACACTCCGATGAATTGTTTTCTGAGCACATTTACTTTCGTGACACAACGCTCATTGTCGGAACAACAATTATCATGTTTGCCAGTGTAATTTATTGCGTTTCCACCACTGCGCTTGTCCATAGACACCTTTTAATTTTGTACATCATTAAGTAAACTCAACTTTAACGTAATAGCAGAAACGAGCTATATGTGACGTCGGTGCGTTTAAAGCAAAGAATTAAATAGAAGATCAAGCTATCCGACCAGAAATAAATATAAGACGTGAATCGAGTTGCAAGAATGAGATATCGTTCGCCGGGACGAATATACTACTCGTGTCAAATCCGCATAGACAATCGGTTTCCGGTGCGGGCATCGACACTGCACTCGCGAAGATTTATTTCGGACGTAAGCTGCACCGTGCCAAATCAAGCAAACTGTTACCACTCCCGCGCAAATTGATATTTCTGGCAAGCGCGCCTCGGCCCGGATGGAGGAACCTCGAGATAGAGTAGAAGGCGAAACAGTGACACGATAAGTGTAACTGAACGAGCAAGAAGACGTTGCTCGACAAATAGACGATATTTAATAATGTGAAGCCGAGAGAGGAAATATTTCTCTCGAAGCTCGATTGCTACAAGTTCGGAAAATCATTCGAGTGACGTAATGAGAAATCAGCATTTGCGCAATATGTAATACGTGTTTTGTCATACGTCTAATGTAAATGACATGTGTTTCGATATATGTTTAATACGTGTAATCTGTTTCGACATACACGTGTGTGACATATATGTAATGTATGTTTAGATAAAGTGGCAATGAGTTTAATTTTCGAATTATATCGCATAAATTAAAATTTTAAATGTATTTTAACGTAAAAACTTAATTTATGCTATGTTAATATTTTTTCCAACATTCATATTACATATAAATATGACGATACATATTGTATATTCAAAAACGCGTACAATGATTACTTTTATCACAAAGAAACTTAATGAAAACGTAAAATAGCAAGCTTCGTAATCACATTTAATCAGTGTTTTCTTGTTTTATGTTAATCTTATCAGCGAATGAAAATCGAATTTCCCTCGAATTAACTTCAAGCTTGTCCCGAGTGAAAAATCGAACAAGAGTCACATGAGTCACTTAATCAACAATTTTCAGTTAATTCAGTTAATTTTTTTTTTAAATTGTCGAATATAATAAAAATTTAACATTTATCATACATATTTTAACGAAGTAATTAATTGCTCGTTAATCATTCAATATTTCGAGCGACATGATAAGCATCCAATAGTATTCTTAATTTTTCTACATAGCATCAATATGTTTTTTTCAAAAATATATTACATTATCGAATATTCGCAGATTGATGGTCAAAACCTAACAACAGAATGAAATGTACTAGAAAAGATAAAATTTATATTCGTCAAGATTTCTGGTATGTTCCTACAAATATTCAAAAAATTCTCTAATATTCAATATTTTATAGCAATTAATAATTTTTATATTTTATCAACTTTTACTGACTCTTTTATATATTATTATTTAATTAATATATTCTGCGAATATGTATGAAGAACGTCATATTTGATAATCGTGCAATCTCTTGTTATAAAGGAATAATATTCGTTAACATATCGATTGACAGATATATAATAATTATCGTAAAGTTCACTTTGTAACATGATGACCAGATGTTTTTTAATTCACGCTAATGTTAAAAATGTTTTACTTGGTCCAATATATAGCCTGCATTTTCAATATAATAAAATATAATAAACTTTAACAGCATCTCGCTGTCATTCACGTTTCTTATTTATTTATTTAAAAAGCTGTAAAACCAATAAATAAATAATATTTTTGCACACTAAATTTTAATTTTATATATTAAAATTAAAGTAAAATTTAGTGATGTCTTTCTAACTTACGTGTTCCTTAGATACCGGTTAACGAATAGAATCCATGAGTGAATAATGTATCTTGGAAATAATACCGTGTTTGCAATTCTATCCGTATTTTGGCCATTCTATTCCATTCTACATATTCGATCCGATAATTCTCTCGCCTTGAACAAAACCACCCCTCCGACAGTGCGCAAGAAATTCGCATTCGCATCGTCCTCGCTGCGGGCTGTCGAAATTCAATATTATTCCCGCAAAATAAAAATTGATTCTCTCCGCCATAAACTATGTATATGTCGCGCGAATGACAAGGAAATAACAAAAAGCGACATTCCTATATACGTATATACTTTCAATTCGCCCAAGTTAATAACAGCGAAAATTGGTCGTGGTGCAATGTAATACGAAAAGTATAGGACTCGAACTCTACACTGATAAAAACCCTCGACACAAAAAGGTACTGCAATACACGTTTTTAATATTAAGAGCATTATTAACAAATTGCATAAATTTTGACGCGTCGCACTTCGCATTTAATATGTGCAATCTCTTCTAATTTATTTGCAGAAGATTGGAGATTTTAGAGAGAAAGAGGACGAGAGTGATTATATATGCAACGCCTTTATATTATCATTAAAATGAACTCCGATATTATAGCACACTACGACGTCTATAATATCGCGTTCAAAGCGACCGACAAAAGATCTCAGTAGGCGACGAGTAAGGTGAAAGGGCGCGGGCCCAAATCGCGGCGTGATTTTCACGCGCCTTTTTTTTGTTTTTTGGCGTCCGTATTAGCGGCGGAGTTAAATGTAATTTGTCCAGGGCCGAAAAGAGCGCGGGGGAAAAAAGAAAAAGGCGTAAGTCCTCCGATCGTGTTGAATCGTCCCGGACGCGCGTCGTAATAATCGGGTGGCGGCGCGACGCCGCGTTTCGACCCGGCTCGGCCGCCGAAAAAATGTCCGGCATCGAGTCGTCCCGAATTCCAGTCCGATTCCGACATACCGGACGCGCGACGAGAAAGAATCCGATGTAATTCCACCGTGTTACCAGGTAGCACGGCATTGCGTTACTCCGAGTACGCGACGACGACGACGACGGCGACGGCGGCAGCGGCGGCGGCGGCGGCGGCGTCTCGACGTCGACGCCGTATTTTAAACCCGCCGCCGGCGCTCGCGACGAATAAATTTCTTTTCATCGATTCGGCCGCGTCGACCGTTCTCGAGACTGCCCGCGACCGATGCGTTCTTTGCCCCCCTCTGTCCCCGGGTGACTCCCAAAATTCTCGCCCTTGTCCCCGAATTCTCGGTTGTACACTCCCATTTGATGCTAAGTACGCGGTTAGGCTCATTGCTGTTTTATTTAGAGAGATTCTTGTCTTATATTGATACCAAAACTCTTATATTCACGTCAGATCGATAGAACTCAAAATCAGACAGATTGCATTTACAATTAGCGCTAAATACGCGGAGAGAGGAATCTCGAGATCTTGTCTTTCGCAAAAAGACGCTAATTCTCGTTAGAATTTTTCTACGAGGATTGAAACTAATTGTTATAATTCAGATCGATTTAAGTTTGAATCCTATTATAC